AGATCAATGCACTGTTAGCTTTGAGTAGTATTTGACTGCAAGCATGGTCTTTTCCATTGCCACAGCTAACTTTAGTACATGTAGCTAAACTTACTAATATTTTCAGTTTTAGTTTATTTGCATTGTTTAGTTGTAGCCTCCTTATACTACGCCAGAACGCATAGTACAAACTAAAACCAAAGAACCTTAACCCTTTCCACCCTAAAGTCAGTATGCATATTCTCCATACTGCTCTTTATATATTTCTTAAGGTGCTGATAAAGAGAATTTGTTTACCAATCAAAAGCTTCTTTCGTTGGTGATCATTTCCTTTATTCTCATGACCTAAACGTGTGATTCAGGGGTGATATAGTAGGGAGAAATTTGATGCTAGTCACTCTCTGGGTTTAAAGGGTTAAAACTGACTTGAAATCCCTCCTTTATAACATTTCTATCCTCATCTACAGATTTTGTTTGTAAGAAATTATTAACTTGATGTTTTCTTGTCAAATTAATTTTGAACTACTCTGACACTCTTCACCACTTTTCTTTCCAGGGATTGTGACCATTGAAGTGAATTCTATATATGGACCAATCCCCTGAGCCCTCAGCTAGCGGTTGCACCAGTCGAAGTCAACCTCCACAAATGCATAATACCTCGCCCTCAGGACAGCCGAGCAAAAAAGGTTCTGGTAAAGTACATTACTACCAATGTGCGCATTGTGACAAGGCTTTCTTGTACAGGTCCAAACTACTTCTTCACGAGATAACCCATAGTGGGGAAAGACCGTACAAGTGTCCCAATTGCGACAAGACCTATAAGAGGGAATCAGAACTTGTGGTTCATCAGCGGGTTCATACTGGGGAAAGACCTTTTCGTTGTTTAAAATGCGAGAAGGCGTTCAAAACCAAATCAGAGCTTGTTGTTCACGATAGGTTTCACACTGGTGAAAGGCCGTATAAATGTCTCCACTGTGACAAGTCTTTCAGAACAGCGTCGGAGCTTGGTTTGCACAACAAGGTTACCTCGGGTCAGAGGCCCTTTCGATGTCCTAAGTGCGACAGGGGCTTTTTTCGGCAGGCCGATCTCACCATCCATGAGCGAAACAACTGCAAAGAGAGACCCTACAAATGCAGCCAGTGCGAAAGAAGCTTCAAGACCCCGTCTGAACAGGAAAAACACGAGAAAAATCATTCTGTCGTCGAGCCCATTAAGTGCACAGTTTGTGATAAGTCGTTCAAAACGAAACAACACCTTGAAACCCACTCAAAAATTCACTCTGTTTCAAAGCCTTTCGATTGTTCATCATGTTCAATGTCGTTTAGGACCTCAGCGGAATTGACAGCTCACACCGACACTCACGGAGGTAAAAAACTTTACAAATGTTCGCAGTGTGATAAGTCTTTTGCCTTCAAATCCAAGCTCTTCCAGCATTGGGTGATTCACACGGGGGAAAGACCATACAAGTGTGTCCAGTGTAACAAATCTTACGGTAGGAAGTCCGAACTTGTGGTACATCAAAGAATACACACTGGAGAAAAGCCCTTCAAGTGCACTAGTTGCGAAAAGTGCTTCAAGACCACATCAGAGCTGGTTGTTCACTGCAGGACCCACACTGGTGAGAAACCGTATAAGTGCACCCATTGTACCAAGCAGTTCAAGACTGCATCTGAACTTGGCGTCCATAGAAGGAGTCATATTGGTGACAGACCTTTTTCTTGCTCAAAATGTGAAATGTCTTTCAAACGAATGGCTGACCTGACAACTCATAAGAAATTCCATCTGATCGACCTGCCCCACAAGTGCCACCTTTGTGTGATGGCTTTTGGTACCTCGTCTGAACTTGCTATTCATGAAAAACTTCACAGTTCCCTCCTTCGTAATGGCGCGAACCACACTGCTGCGTTGCCTGGTTCAGGGGCTCATAAAGAACAAGTGGCTCTAAGTAACGGACAGCCTTCAGCGCAAGGCGGTATTTCTGACCAGACATTGAATTTAGGACAAGGGCTTAAGATGGCACAGATTGCCATTACCAACGATAAAGTGGCCTCCGCCGAAGACAGTGGAAAATTGAACAGTGCCGAACCCGATCTTGATATGGATAAGCTAATGAAGATTGTTAACAAACCCTTCAAATGTAGCCAGTGTGGAATAGCTTTTGTCTCCACCACAGAACTGGCTGGACACGTGAGAATCCACACCGGTCAAAGGCCATTTAAGTGCACGCAGTGTGAAAATTGCTACAGAACACAGTCAACGCTTGCTGTTCATATGAAAAGCCACGCCAAGGAAAAACGATATAAATGTTCATATTGTGAAGTGACATCCCCCACACTCTCAAAACTTTACGATCATTATATTCTTCATCAGAACGATCACACCCTTGAACGTCCTCGGGGTGGCGCAGAAGAACCGATGATCGTAGACGATGACGAAATGTTACCATTTAGGTGCTGGGTGTGCCAGAGACGTTTTGCTGAACAAATGGATCTGGATCTTCACATCAGTTCGCATAGAGACAGAAGTAGCACTCTGGAATCGTGTGTTAAGAGGTTAAAAAGCGCCATCACAGCAAAGTAAAGACAGTAACTGTTTTTGAAGATCCCACATCAAACAGAAACATTGGAAAATAGCAGCTTGAAAATAAACGCAGTTACTATTAACAACTTTGCGCTGTTAAAAGGTAAATCCGTCACGTAGATGGCAAGTAAGCAGGTTTGTTTAGATGCAATTTAGTGTTATCAACTGAGTTGGTTACGTAAATTGGCCACCGTAAAGAGTTAAAAGACTGAAGTTTCGAGCGTTAGCCCCTCGTCAGAACGATTGGAGGAGTTCTGGGTTGTGTTTGGGTTTATTTGCAGAAAATGGAGCTATGCTATCGGTGGGAATGGAAAAACGGCTTCCCACTGGTAGCGTAGCTCCATTTTCTGTTTATAAACCCACATCTCCTCCAATCGCTCTGACAAAGGGCTAACGCTCGAAACGTGAGCCTTTTAACTCTTTACGGTGACCAATTTACGTTATCAACTCAGTTGATAACACTAAATTACCCTGTTATACTCTCCCATCGACGCAGCACCACAGTTTCTTTAGAAACTTACTCCCTTTATTCATTTTTTTTTAGATGTGACTCATCTTTAAAAACCATGAGATTCTTTTTCAAATGCATTCTGTGTATATCACCTCTTTTGAGCTAGTGTTTCGTGTGTCCGTCATTCAAGGATGAAACTGTTGCAGTCGTCAAAATTCGGTAACAGTTTTGTGGTCCAATGAAAAAAGTGTAGTGTGTATTATCATTTGCATTCTTAAATTTTGAGCGAGAAGTCCATATTAGTAACCAATGCATTGGTACAACTGTAAATGTTATAGGTGTAGTTATAGAGATTACTCACTGATTTGCGCTATTTCAGCTCTTAGTCTTTTTGCTCATAGTTGACCGAGGACTTCACCTCTCATTAATTCTTTGGTAAGAAATTGGGAGCCAGCATTCTTGTTGTAATAATTAGAGAATTAATCTAAGCCTTAAAAAATTTTTTGTTCTTCGGAGATTTTCCAGGCAATTAGGGAAATCGGCAAGACACTTGTATAACTGCTTGATTAATGGGCGATTGTTACCAAATTCTTAATTCGTGGCCTTGTGGTCAGTCAAGTTTACCTTCGAAACCCTTCTTCTCAGTCCAAAAAAAAATGCTTTAGGTACTGTATAAAATGTGGCATTGTCGAAGGTTTAATGTACCGTTGGTGCGTTATGCTAAGCATTGCCTGTGTGCCCACTATTCTGTGGCCAGCGGCGAGTATTGAGAATGAAGTGAAGCGCCGATATTTTACTCTCAGTGTTATTGAAGAGTCCAGACTCTTCCTCAGTGGGCGCTTAGCGAGATGCTTTAGAATATATTTTTGACAAACCAAGTATCTCGGTTTTCAATTTTAAAAACATAAAAGGGCAATCAACGGGCCCAGTTTCTCCTTCCTGCTGAGTACGTCCGCCACTTTTAGTGTCGGGTATCGACGGTAAACTTTTTGTTAGCACAATGCGTTTAAGCGATGTGTTTTTTCCCTGACGATCAGAAACAATTCAACCGTTCTTTTTTTAATGTATATTTGAGCTATGTACACTAAAGAGTGGGTTTATTGGTGGATATTAAAGGCATAAGTGAACAACGTAATGTTGTTGACATATGATATGTAACGGTAGGTGGTATTGTTTTGGTAATTGTAATTGGTTGTGTATGTGGATCATAGTTACTAAAAAATATTTCTAATTGTTACTTAAACGAACATTTAGCACTATCGTTCCATTTTACATTGTGTAGAATGTTGTTAGGGTTTGAAATTTATACTGAAGGAATTCTAGATAGTATGAAGTTTACATAAAGCCGGCGACACACCGTGCGATTTAATGCGCCGGTGGCGACGAATTTGATCGCCGCGATAGGCGTATAAAATCGCTAGGTGTGTCGCCGGCTTGAGCTCCGTTCACATCATTGAAGAAGTAAAACTTGGAAGCACGTTGGCTTCTGAAAGGAAAACCTAGAGGACTGGTTTTTTTTTGTAATTTTTCTACTAAGGATGCTTAATTAGTGATTTATTAACCCGAAAGTCTCACTTAAAGGTCATTCACTGATAAAAGGTGACATCCGCCCTCAATGAAAGCGTTTCATTTTCTCAGCCATTTTCAATTTTTTACAAACTTGTTTTGTAATAACTATCTTTTTCGCCCAATTTCAGTCTTTTTATGATGTAATGTGAACGGAGTGTCTTGTATTTGATCGATACATTACTATTGTCTATGAGAATCGTGGCTGCCAAGCTCTCAATAGTTGATGTGGTCAAAAATTAATTGTTTTTCTTGGTTGTCTGATTCTCCAAACAATATTCACTTTATTAACTTTGTATTTTATTCCATTTTAAATCTAACATGTGAAAACTGAAAGATTTTCTTAGTATAAGTGACTGTACTGCATTAGGTTATATATGAACAAATTATGTACTCTTAGTGAGTTAGCCAAATTTTTACGATAAGACATTTTTACTATTTTAAAGTTTTTTTCTTGTTTTTAAAGCCATAGTGCAGATATCTTGCTGATATTAAGTATACTTACCTCTACAAATAACCGTTTCCATTTAAAATGGATGTAATCCTCCAGGTTGCTTTAGTATTGCGAGTCGATGAGCAATTGGTTCCTTGAAGTGACAATTATGGCCTTCTCGCGTGTTTTTACCAGGTGACGAGAATACAGACAAGTGTGATGCTGGGCAGTCAAGAGACCTAGTGGGGGAGGGAAGGGGACAAGACGAGACGACATAAACGCGTTTCTAAAAGAGTGCGATTACTTTGACCAGTATTGACCCTGCATTAGCTTGGTTTAACCCACTTAAATGTCCATACCAATTGAAGTAAAACGCCCCTTCCAACTGAACATTTAACCCTCAAACTCCTAAGATCTGATTGGTAATCCTCCCCTCTAACTGCTGCACATTTGCCTCGTAAATTAGTAATGAAAATTTGGTGTTAGATCAAGATAACTTTCACATGATGGGTTTGAGTATTCTCATTACCTGTCTGCTTTACAATGTATGGATATTATGGAGAGAAGTTACTTCTTAATCACTTCTGGGAGTCAAAGGGTTAGGTGTTCTTAAAGCCTTACATCATTGTCGTTCGATCTCTTCTTTGGCACAGCTCACATGGCCTCGAACAATTTCAGCTTGGACAATCTGATCAAGTGGACAGTTAGTTATTTTTTACGAATAAAATGCATCGGATCCTTTTCTACTATTTATTCACAGTATTTCTAGTAATAAAATGCTATCTTGCAAAAGTTGAAGTACTTTTGTCTTTTTTAGCTTTCTAAATATAATTCCTTGTAGTTGCATAACCTTCTGTGGCTCAGGGGTGCTTCTGAAACACTTCAGTATTAGATAACGATGATCGTGGGAAGTAATTGGCTACGAACAGTCTAGCAACTCTGATTAGAGTCTGACCACATAACCTCGTGTTGCACTCGTGATGTGTACTCAATAGACGTAATATAAATGGGCTTCGGAACGATGATTAACCGCTGATCGGGAAATGAACCGCTCTTACCTCCTTTTCCAAAGAGTTCTTTCTCGGGAGGATCGAAGATCGGATACCAGAAAACGGCTGAAATCGAGCCTCTATTGCAGAACTTATCTTCGCAATGTCAAACATGCCAGAAGTTAAACTAATACTTTGTGAACTCAGAAACACCAACGCGGTAAATAGGGTAAATTGTACAGTATGATCAGTCGTTTAGTAGCATATCTTGTCTGAGCAGTTTCGAAAAACAGCCCGCGCAGTAAAATTAATCGAAGAAATCCCAGAGACCATAAAACTAAACTTCTTTTCCCGCATTTCATGGTCTCGGGATGAAATCGGATCCGTGATTAAATAATCGAGAGCGTTGCGGAATTTTTATTCTTCGTAAGTACCGATAATTGACGATGTATCCATAGTTGCGGAAAACTTATCTTCAAATACACGATAATTTGGTTCTATCAGCTGAGTTGATAATGTATATTGATCACCGTAAAAAGTTTTTATGGCTGACATTTGGAGCGTTAGCCCTTTGTCAGAGCGGAGGGCTAATTCGATCACACGTTACCTTGCAAATAAACTTGTGAAAAAAAAACCCCACCGACGTAGCACCGCAGTTTCTTTAGAAACGTGTCCCATTTATTCGTTTATTTCCAAATACCTTTGATTAACGTTGGTTCTTATCTTTTTAGTTTTAATTGAGTCTGGTAAACCCTGGCTCAGTCATCTTTCAATAGTCTGGAATCATTTTCGTGTGTTTCAAAATAGTTTTCAATCGTGAATGACCTAAATATTTTTTTTTTCTGATGTACTCGTTGAACGATTAACTCCCGATAGCCCTTTGCGCACACGTTTTTTATTTTGTTTCTCTGAACTATCTTTTACGTCTACCTTTCCCTTACGAAATTATTTGGGGTTTTATTTGGTCAAGTTTAAAAAAGGGGATTTTATTCGAAGGGTGCTTCCCACATGATCTCGTAGGCTTGATACCGGTTTCTATATCTATGATCTAAAAAATCGTGTGAAAAGCTATAATTTCAGTACAAAACTTATTCGATCTTTTCGTCAAATTAAATTTTTCAGCTACGCTAACAGAGGATAGAAAATCTGCCTAAGTTTCATTAGTTCCAGACATAAATTTTGGCGACCAAAGGACCAACCAACACTACATTGACCACCACGTTCTCGATTTGCCTCTGCGCAATCTCAGAGCCGCCATTTACATATATCCGGGGTTTTCCGAGAATCATTGTCACCGTGATGCCTGAAACATGGCGGATCTTGGCGAGAATGTGAACAAGTCTTCGCATTTTCACATTAAGTAACGACTGTAATATGCCAAGAAAACATTTAAGACTACTTGTATATAGCAGTGAAAACTTGTAGATAATGTCTGTTCATCAACAACAGAAGTCAGTGGTAAACTCAACCGCGGTTTTTCCGAACGAAAGGTCGCCATCGATTTCGGATTCTTCAGACGAGGAAGATGATGATTTGGACGACGAAAGCGCCGAACATTCAGCGGTAATGGCGATTTCATACCATTTGATAATTTTTGTGTGTTATTATGTTTTTATTTTATTCGGTTAAAGAGTTCTTAAGGACATTTTCCCTTTCTGAAAGAGAGGAAAAATGTTCTTGGTATGTTAATTATTCTAACTCCATGATTAATATTAAAGCTATAAAAGCTAACCCTTCGACTTATGATAGAAAATATTTGTTTTGAAGAAAACAGAGTCGCCGGTGAGAGAAATTTCTAGTGTAAAATAGTTCATTTTTTGGGAGAAATGGTGGTATGATCTGTAGCAATATTGTCCTTTGTTATATTTGTGCGATAAAAGCGAACGGTTAGCTCGAAAACAGTGTCATGTTCTTTGCCGTAACATTTGAGAAGAAGTTTGTTCAGTCTATTTACCCTGTTGTGATG